ACATCAGATGTCCAGTTCAACTACATCTGATGTCATACCTCAGGTACATCAGATGTCATACTTCAGCTACATCTGATGTCATACCTCAGGTACATCAGATGTCAACTACATCTGATGTCATACTTCGAGTACATCAGATGTCCTACTTCAACTACATCTGATGTCATACCTAAGGTACATCAGATGTCCTACTTCAGCTACATCTGCTGTCATACCTCAGGTACATCAGATGTCAACTACATCTGATGTCACACTTCGAGTACATCAGATGTCGTACTTCAACCATATCTGATGTCATACCTAAGGTACATCAGATGTCCTACTTCAGCTACATCTGCTGTCATACCTCAGGTACATCAGATGTCAACTACATCTGATGTCATACTTCGAGTACATCAGATGTCCTACTTCAACTACATCTGATGTCATACCTCAGGTACATCAGATGTCATACTTCAGCTACATCTGATGTCATACCTCAGGTACATCAGATGTCAACTACATCTGATGACATACTTCGAGTACATCAGATGTCCTACTTCAACTACATCTGATGTCCTACCTCAGGTACATCACATGTCCTACTTCAACTACATCTGATGTCCTACCTCAGGTACATCAGATGTCCTACTTCAACTACATCTGATGTCATACTTCAAGTACGTCAGATTTCATACTTCAACTACATCTGATATCATACTTCAAGTACATCAGATGTCCTACTTCAACTACATCGGATGTCCTACTTCAAGTACATGAGATGTCTTATAGCCACGAGAAAACTCTCGAGTCGCTACTACGTCGCAGCGGGACAACTCCCCCGACGCCTACACTTAGCCTCGAGACAGCTCTTGAGTCGTTACCACGTCGCAGCGGGACAACTTCCCCGACAATAATATTTAGCCTCGAGACAACTCTCGAGTCGATATAACATTTGGGCGATACAACTCCCCAGTTACTACTTACCCGTGTGACAACTCTCGCGCTTCAACTAAATTGTGGTGAAACATGTCTCAAAATGCTCGGCCCTACCTCCTCGCGACGAGACAACTCGTTCGAGGCTACCACGCGCAAACGCGACCTCCGACGCCCAGGCCTTGCGCTGCAATGTCGCGCACGCCCTTGCCGCCGCGCGCGCACGCCGGCCTTGCGCTCCAACACCGCGCTGCGCGCCCCCTAGCCTTGCGCCTTTAGCGGGCGCTAGCGCCGTGCGCCCTCACCGACGCGCGCTAGCGCCGCACGCCCTCGCCGACGCGTTCTAGCGCCGCGCGCCCTCGGCGAGCGCCTTCGCCGTCGTGCGCTAGCGCCGCGCACCTATCCCTCGCGCATCATCGCCTTGTGCTCCCACGCCATGCGTACCATCCCCGCATCACGTATAATCGTGGAAGCTTCAACTTGTGCTACCACTGAAGTAGTGGCACCATACATCGTCATAGCAGGAGCCAACGCTCCTCCTCGTGAGGCCCCACTGGGTCCTCAACATGATCAATTTCTACTTACTTCTCGAACGGTTCAGATAACCGAAGAAGACCTTCAGCGTATGATCACGGAAGATTCAACTCGTGCTGCCACTGAATCGGGGGCACCATATATCGCCAAGGTTGGGCATCTCACCCCAGTGGTTCGTGATCCCTTCATCCTAAATGGGGGGCTATCCCATCCTAAAGTTGGGTATCTCATCTCAAGGGTGGTACATCCACTTACCTTTCAACCCCAAGGGGTTTCACATCCCATCAAGTGTTTCACGTCCCTACTTCAAAAAACAGAAAAAATGGTCTGACGCGCACGCGCGAACCAATGGCACAACCGTGCACATCCACCTCAGACCATAGGTCTCGAGCGCCTCATCCCACAGTGGGCAGTTATCCCCATCCTAAGGTTGGGCATCACCCTTACCTTTCAACCCCAAGTGGGTTCACATCACATCTCAAGAGACGAGTATAATCTCCCTACTCAAAAAGTAGAACATCCCCAAGGGGGTGCACATCCCATCGCAAGGAACGAGGATAATCTCCCTACTCAAAAAATAGAACACCCCCAAGGGGGTGCACATCCCATCTCAAGGAACGAGGATAATCTCCCTACTCAAAAAATAGAACATCCCCAAGAGGGTTCACATCACATCGCAAGAGACGAGGATAATCTTCCTACTCAAAAAATGGAACATCCCCAAGGGGGTGAATATCAACCACCAAAAAATAGAAGAAAAAAGAAGAAGACGAAAAAAGAGAAAAAGAAAAAAAAGTAAAAGAAGAAGAAACAAAAGAAGAAGGAAGAAAAAATATGAAAAAAAGGAGGAGCTGCAGCCGAGCCGCGCGGGCGAGCCGAGCCAAGCCGCGCGCGCGCGGCTCCACTCACAAAAAAAAAAAAAAACAAAAAAACAAAAAAATTCACACGCGCGCGCCTCCCAATGCCATCTTGGAGCGCGCGGTCCCACCTAATTGGGCACAACTTTTGCTACTCTCCACCAAATTGCGCGTAGATTTCACCTCGCTTCACCAAATCGCGCGAGAATTTCAACGCGCTCCACCAAATTGCGCGAACTCTTCAACGCTCCTACCAAATCGTACTCGCTATCAAACGGATAAATAAAAAATATTATTTCTCCACGCCACGCCAGCGATTAAAGAAAACACTACAACACCGATCTACTCTCAACACGATCCGGTACCCTTTTCGACGTGGCTCCCACATCGTCTCGAGAGTGGGGGGCTTGCGAGACAACTCCCACGAGGAGCCAACTCACTCAGTACCACCACCCGCAGCGAGACAATTACCACGAGGAGCCAACTACCTCGGAACTACTACCCACAGCGAGATAACTCCCACGCAGAGAGAACTCGCTCCGTCCTACAACTTCTTTGCGAGACAACTCCCACGAGGAGCCAACTCGCGCAGTAATACAACCCGCAGCGAGACAACTCCCACGAGGAGACAACTCGCTCGGTCCTACAACCCCTTACAAAGAAACTCCCACGAGGAGCCAACCCCCTCGGGTCTCAAAACCACAGCGAGATAACTCCCACGAGGAGACCATTCGCTCCGTCCTATAGCCCGTTGCGGGACAACTCCCACGAGGAGCTAACTCCCTCTAGTCTCAAAACTACAGCGAGATAACTCCCACGAAGAGTCCACTCGCTCAATCCTACAACCCGTTGCGAGGCAACTCCCACGAGGAGCCAACTCCCTCGGATCTCAACACCACAGCGAGACAACTCCCACGAGGAGACCACTCGCCCCGTCCTATAACCCGTTGCGAGGCAACTCCCACGAGGAGCCAACTCCCTCGGGTCTACGAAACCACAGTGAGACAACTCCCACGAGGAGCCAACTCGCTCGACACTACAAATTCGTTGCAAGACAACTCCTACGTGCAACCACCTCACTCGATAAATATTACTCACCGCGAGACAACTCCCATGAGGAGACAACTCGCCGGAAATTCACTATATAATCACAAGCTCAAGTTAGCACGATTACAACCCTAGAAGCATTTAGAGACATTATGAGAATCTATATAGCCTGGCCAGCTTGATTACTCAAATTTATCTACTTGTTTTCGATGGGTCATTCATTAAAACGTGGCCACGGTCCAAACATACTTAAGACCCACGAGGTCTAACAAGGGGCACGGCCCCCATAAAAAAAAATCTTGAGAGTCTGATCCCCTCCTCAAGTACATCACGCACAAGGCTATATGTAAACACATATAAGCAACGCGTCAAAACATTGACAATGTCGAAAAATAACAACTCCCACGAGGAGAATACTAGCTCCGTGCTACTACATTATCACGAGACAACTCCCACGAGGAGATAACTCGATCAACACTATTACCCCGCGACAAGACAACTCCCACGAGGAGATACGCTACTATATCGTCGCGGGACAAAACCGACGACTCAATTAACTTACATCGCGACAACCTTGTCGCGCTATGCGCCAACGCGCATTCACGCCCCTCCGACACACGCTCCAACGCGTTTTCGCATACCATTAGGCCATACGCCAACGGTCGACGTCTACAATTTTTACTCTCGACACGATCTGAGACCCATCACAACATGGCCCCCACATCGACTCGAGAGTGGGGGGCTTAATGATATGCCTAATTGGCCCAACTCAATGGGCCTACAAATTATTTACCTACTGGGCCACGAGCCCAATATCGAAGACCACTATCACCGAGGCCCAATCACCTTCAAGCAAGGTTTGGGCCCGACAATCTCAACTAAGCTATAAATACACATTTGACCTCATTCCATAAGGTAGGTCCTATTAACTGAGCAATACGATAATATGTATTCTCTGGACTATTTCTATGATCAGCACGTCTGACTTGAGCGTCGGAGGGGTTTCCGCCGGATCAACCCCCGGCTTAGTTCATGTGTGTTCTATGATCGCAGGTACCTCAGGATCATCAAGTTGTCAAGCTACTGATCTGCTTTGCTCTCCCAGCTCATTTTCTACACCACCCTAGGTGAGCTATATTTTAGCATCATCAATATATATATATATATATATATATATATATATATATATATATATATATTTTTTTTTTTTTTGAGATTATATACTGCAATAGTCATATATATATTGAGTTTATTGATTAAATATTATCTTGAAAATATTATATAATTATAGTTTTTTAATAATTATATGAGGCGTTTAATGAAAATATCAAAATCATTTACCACCAAGTACCCACGTACAGTTAGACCTCTATAATTTAATGCAGTCGTGATCAATCAATTTCTATTAATTTAGCGAAATATGAATTTAAAGAAATAATTTTCAGCACTTTGCTCTCGAGTCGGGGCCCAAATAACATATTATTTAAGTGAGGTTATTAATTTATTGAGGTTCTAGCGTATCATGTTTACTATTTAAATCGTAGAAATAAAAAATAATACTAAATTTATTTATTTATTTTTAATAAATAATTTAAGGTCCACGGACATCACGTGAGCGGCGATATAGTGTGGTCAAAGTCTTGAAAAAAAGGGCAAAACCAGAAACATACAAAACGGCGGGAAACTACGAACCAACGCAGCCACCACTAGCATTTATTTGGCTACACCGCTTCCGCCACCGATTTCTAGGGTTTCAAAGTTCAATTCGACGCACATACATACATTATTCGTGTCTCTATCGCCCGCTCCATATAAAATTCCCCCCATACAGAATCTGAAAATTTCACTAGATTCGGTAATGGAAGAGGTTAGGGCTACCTCTGCTTGGGTCGCTTCTCATTCCTCCCATGTCACCGTCGACTCCTCAGGTCCTTCAACATTTTATTTATTTATTTATTTAATTTTTGTTTTCCTTTTTCCATTTCCGTACTGCTAGATGTTAAATTCTATGCCGCCATGATTTTTTGGAATTTCGTTATGTTAAGTAAATGCTCTGTTTTGTCATTTTGATTGGTTTAATTTCGTGTGTTTAGAAGTTGAAATTGAATTGAGGGTTACGCTTTTTTAGGGATTGAGAAAGTAGCGGAAGAGATGAAAGATTCGATTCCGAAGGTGGAGTGGAATTTCGAAGGAATTCATTATTTCGACAACGGTCCTCTCACTGTCCAGTATCTGTTTGTGTTGGATGCACTGAATTTCTGCTTCTGGCCAGGTGAATTTTTGTTAAAATACTATTTTTTTACGTTGGCTGTTTTGTGGTTTTATTTACGAATTGTATTAGCTTGTTCATCGATATAGCATTTCAATTTGTCGTATGGCACTTATATACTGTGCTGGCAGCTCTGGTTTGATTGATAAAGATAGGCCCCTTGTTCACTGTTTAAACAGAAAAAAATTCATCAGTTGTTTTTTTAAGATTGTTATGCCTTGTTTGGTTGAATATCGACTTTTAATATATAATACTAAGATTCATGGTTTGAAAGTGAAGAGTGCATCATTAAGATATTTAAATGTATGTTGCAGATAATGAAATGAGTTATGATCATTTGGCTGCGGGACTGAAGGAAGCTCTTCAGAACGATAAGTCTGCTTTCGATGCTGATCGTCTCCAAAAGTACACAGGTACGAAAATCGTATCAGGCACTTTTCAATGTTTTATCTTGCCTAATTATCTTAAAATGTTATGTCACACTAGTCTGAAGATATTTGATAAGAGAGGATTAAGATTAAAATTAGAGGCCGAATTGGTTACAAATATTGCTTTGTTCTATTTGTATTTCACTTTGGCGAACTTACGTCTTCTTTTTTTTTTGCTGTACATCACTCGTATGGGTGAATATGTTTTGACAATTTTGTGGTGCTATAAATTTCATGAAATACTTACGGAGAAATATCGTGGTTAACAGGTCCTGAACTACGTAAAATGCTGAAATGGCCTAGACCATTACCTTTGGAGGATGAACGTGTGCGCTTAATGCACGAGGTACTACTTTCTTTAATAATGCGACTCCATTTTTTTTTGTTATTCTTTAGTTTGTATAACTATGCTAATTACGTATTCACGTGATTGTTTAGGTGGGATTTGAGCTGGAGAGATCATTTGATGGTAAAGCATCTAAACTCGTCGAGTCTTGCGAAAAATCAGTTGCAAAGCTTGTTGCTCTCATCACTAGTCACTTCCCTGGTAAAATCAATGCAATTACTTAAACCTCGTTTAAGATATTTACTTTATACTCATTTTAATTATCGATACTGCCGAAAGAAAAAAGTAAATTAGTTTGTGATGCTATAGGATTCCGGGACCATACAGTATACAAAGGGCACCAAGTTTTCCTGTACAAAAGAGCTCAGATATTTGCTGCAGATTTATGGGGTGCATTCAAGGGTCAAGGATTTGGTGAATTCAGTGACATAAAATCAGTGACGATGTTTGCTGATTATATCGTGCCTGCAGTTCTTGAGCAGCTGGGAGTATTAAAATACAGCCCTTCTTTGTCCAGTGTGATCGAGTCTAATAGAGAAATCAATTCTGGAAGCGAGGAGGAAGTCGAACTTAGAGCATGCTCTATACACGCAGTGGAGGAAATAAGGGAGACGATTCACAGAAAAACGGGAAATCAGGTTAAGTTTTATTGCCATTGATTTAGGGAATTGTTTGTTGGCTTGTAGTTAATTTCCTCTATGAACCTTTTTTGCTTTATTTGAACTTCTTTGTTGGTTCGTGTTTCTTTTCATTCAGGTTTTGAGCGTTGAGTTGGATCTCTGGTTATGGGCATTTGGTGTTCAATGCCCGTCTCTTCAACATCATCGAACACTCTCCATATATTATTGACTTGACTGTTGGAGTTGTATCTCTGTGGATTGTATCCAGTTTCTGGTCCGATGATTTTGGTAGAAACATAGATTATATTTATGCCTGGCAGATTCTTTTGTTCTCAGGTTTGAGTATTGAAAACTCGAATCACTATGAATTGCATGGACTGCGAACAGTACTGGATTTTTTTTATTAATTGGTGGTTGAATTAGAAAATATCGTAGTTCATTGGTAGAACTTTCCTACAGATTAGCATGATTCACTTATTTTGAATCTTTGGCTGTCTTCGTTGCTCATTGAGGCTAGTGTAGAAATTGGAACGAAAATTTTCAAAATTCTGAATTTTTGGATTGGAACTGGAATAAATAAAAGACATTAATTTTTTTCGTCTTGATTTTAATTTTCAAAAATAATTCTGAAAATTCTATTATTTTCTAAATAATAATAAAATGGAATGGGCCTTGGGGACAAAGAGAAGCCCAAGACAAATCAGGAAAAGAGGTCAACTGCCCTAGTCTTGGGCTGTTTGAAGGGCTTTAAAGTCAATATGGACCTTGACACACACACACACACACACATATGTGTGTGTGAACCCACAAGATGAAATTCCTAAAAAAATGCTGGATTTGATTTGACAAATTTTTATTTTGGAATAAGTTTTTTTCATTACATTTTTCGAATTTTTTGGAATAAAATTAGAATTATAGGAATAAACTTCGATTTTTTCTTATTCTTTTTGGAAGGTATTTATTTGATAGTTGTAGAGTAGTAGCAGCAGACTTGTGGATAAATAGAGTGGGAAAAATAAAATGAAAAGTGAAATAGGATATCAACTATCAATTGTGTAATCCAACGGTTGACGACAGCCATCCGCGGAAACACGGAGCCGTTTTCGCCCAATACTTTGGAATCTAACCGTACCGCGCACAAACACACCCACGCGCCTCCACTTCCTCAGTCAACACACACACACACACACCTATGACCTAACCCACTAGATCATCTCCCTCTTCTTCTATTCTCCACTTCTTCTTTACTCTTTATGTATCCTCCATTCTCTCTCTCTCTCTCTCTCTCTTCTTTCTCTCTCTAATTCTTCTTGAAAATATCTACATGTCCGGATAGATAATCTGCAGGGAATTTAATATATATCATCATGAGCTGCAATGGTTGTAGGGTTCTTCGAAAGGGTTGTAGCGATACCTGTATTCTGAGGCCTTCTTTGCAGTCGATTGAAACCGCCGCCGCACAAGGCCACGCCACCATCTTCCTCGCCAAATTCTTCGGCCGCGCCGGCCTCATCTCCTTCATCTCCGCCGTACCCGACACTCAAAGACCTGGTAATTACCTACTCATTATATTGAAGCTGCAGATCCACCATATATAATATATATTATTTTTAATTGTGTGTGTGTGTGTGTGTGTGTGTGTGTGTGCAGCTCTTTTTCAGTCCCTGTTGTTTGAAGCTGCCGGAAGAACAGTGAACCCCGTCAATGGTTCCGTGGGGCTTCTGTCCTCCGGAAACTGGCATATCTGCCAATCCGCCGTGGAGACCGTCCTCCGCGGCGGCGCGTTGAAGCCACTTCCTGAGTTTATGGATCCCGACGACAGTTCCGAGTGCACCGACATCATGTTCAAAATCCAAGACGATCCTTGCCGGAGTACTTCACTCCCCAAGGTGCAGAAACGCCGCCGTTCACCGGACGATGACCTCGATCTGAGCTTGTCGCCGGATTTTACGGGCAAGAAAAGCAGCCCTTTGCCTGAGAAGCGGCGGCACGGTAGCCCATCTATGAATTCGGAGGAATCTCTAACGACTACCTGCCAAAATCAACCACCTACCGAAATCAAGCTTCTAAACCTCTTTTAATTAATTAATCAATTAATTTAATTAGGTCGTAATTAAGAATAAAAGCTGCTAGAATTTCTTTTAATCTCTCTCCTTTTGTTTTCATTTTTAGTTTTTCTTTTTATTATTCTTTCTTCCATTAATTAGGGGTTTTGTTTCTTGAGTAAAATCGCTGGCACAAGATTTAAATAAGTGGAATAAACACGAAGTATTATTATAATTAATCACACTATAATTATGATAATTAGTTGACAAATTAGGCCAAGATAATTAATTAATTATGTTAATAGTGCTTGTCAAACAGCTTAAGCATTTGCTTAAACTTGTAAAAAGTTGCATGCCGCGAAGGTTCCTCGATGAAGCTGATTGGCCAAGAAAATATATACACTAATTTGACCTACTAATTCATACTTATCTAAATTAAAGAACAATAATTTTTTTTTTGAATTAAATAAGAAAATTAATCATGGGTTTGAACTTTGAAAACACAATTGGCCTTTATTAATGTTGTTGTGTTTGGGACATTTGCCGCTGTCAGAACAGCTTTGTTTTGAAATAGAAAAATAAATCAATTTGCAAAAGAGATAGAATATTGCCTTTTGGAGGTGGCAAAGAGGCGTTTTATTATTAATCTTTGTACCATGATATATATATATATATATATATATATATATATATATATATATATATATATATAATAATTAGGTGTTGAGTAAGAAAATTGAACCACTTCATGCAACTTGCAGAATTATTGGTGAATTGGAGAGAGTAATCATGACGAGAAATTTAGATAATTAGGTTTATGTATCCTAATGGAAATTACTATAAATTAAATAAAATTGTGGATTAATTTTTTTTTTTTTAATTTTGTTTTATGAATATTTCAAAAACAAAAAAAGTAGTAATAGTTTGATTTATTGTGCAAGTTGGTATGGTCCACGTCTGCATCGGTGTGTTGTTGGAAGAATTGATTAAGTTGTGATTATTAATTAATTTGTAATTAATGTGGTCGATTAATTAATTAAAATCTTTGTTTTAGTCCCCTCACTATGAAATCTATATATATACGACGACAAAGCTTTATGTATCTGTCGTTCCTATGTTTGAGGGTCTATGCAAGTTGACTGCAAATTTATTATTTTATATTAATTATTTGTCATTATAAATTTATTATTGGTTGAGAATTTATATAACTTATCATCATCGATCTGTGATTTGTATCGATTTTCCTGAAAGCTTCCGCCGGATGATGGCGAACGCCGCCGCATTCGTGGTGGCCCCTCGCCACCCTTTAATTGTAGATAAGGGGGATATATTAATACTTTATTATTTTCGTGTGACGTGGATTTCATTGAACTTGGACAATGGGACAACACATTTCCAAGTTTCTTGGTTCAGATGTAGGCCTATCAACATTTTTTTTTTTACTTTAAGTGATTAATGAAATGTAAAAATATTTGAATTTCATTTGAGAATTTCTGATTTTAGAACAAGTTTTTTTCTTTCAAATTTTTTAAATTCTTTTTTTTTTAATACTCCATCTGTTCCACAGTCTATTTTTTAAAATATTTTTGTTCCATATTATCTGTCACTTTAGATTTTTAATACTGCATTAAATACATTTTTCCTGTTTTAACCTTATTAATGAAACTCTAATCATTATTTTTATCTTATAAATTATTAAACAATAAAAGTTGTTTTAGTCATTTCTATATGATTTTCACCTTTAACACAAATCTTAAGAATCTCAATAAATATGTTTTGATTTTAAGAAAATAGGTATTGATGGACCAAAAGACCCGCCGTGTTTATTAATTACTGCAGGAAGTGTGTTATAGAGTTAATAAGGGTAAAATTGAAAAATAAGCAATTAATGCAGCATTGGCATTTTAAGGTGACAGATAATATGAAAAAAAAAATCAAAAGAGACAGATATTATGGAACAGAGAGAGTACTTTATTGGGGCCCTTTGTTGGCCACAATTGGTGGGACGACAAGTATGTGGCCTTTCATGTGGTTTCAAGGCCAATTACTTTCGAGTCATCCATTCTATTAAATAATTCATATAATTATAGAACAAGGAAAAGAAATATTTAATTTATTCATCACTTAATTCATATATTGTTTTATTTACTTTTTGTGTTTAAAGAAAAAATTGAGAATAGTGACCACTAAACAAATCTAAAATGGTGAGAAATTGTATGTGGAGGAAAAATATAATGAATCTAAATCGATCATGACTAGGATATTAATCAGAGGTGCATGCATGCCGACTCACATGAATCTAAATTGAGCACGTGACTTATTTTTATGTTATTTTCCTTGAAAGAAAAATGATAAACGTGGAAACAAAATGAACTAGATTCAGATGTATGTACAATGAATCATGATCAAATGAATATATATATATATATATATATATATATATATATATATATATATATATATGGTCTCCAACCAATACAACAAAACAATAAAAGCTTGCCTTTTAATTTAGCGAATGATATTCTCGATCTCTACTTAAAACATTTCTATCTATAACTAATATGCCAAATATGTTCGTTTTTGTAGTGATACTCTAAATATCCAAGTTTTGCCTAACTAATTTTGGGGTGGACGTCTCTTCCTAATTCGTGTACCTGGTAAACAACTGATAAAATCTTCCGTCTGATAAGCTTTTTTATGAGATGATAATTTATTACGTCTGATTTTTAAAGTTAAATTTTAAAGTGTTTGGATAATGAACTTATAAACAATTTTAACTCATTATAAGATCTTCGATAAAAAAAAAAAAAGTTGGAGTGAATGTATTTTCTAAAAAGACCTTGAATACTTTCCAATAGCTATTTTTACAATTTTTAAGATTCTTTTAATAAATTACCAAACATTTTGGAATAGCTTATAAACTATTAAACATCTAAACTATTTTTAACAGCTTATAAGCTTAGCCAAGCACCCTCTATACCATACTTCATGAAAAAATTACCTTTATTATTAACAAATTAATTAAGCTTGTGAAAGAGAAAGTAGAAGCATAAGCATGGAAATATTTGGTAAATTTGGAGATAATCTTTTAGAGTTATAAAATGGGCCACTCATTATCTATAGGCCCATTAATAAGAATGGGCTGGATAACTCGACAAAGTTTTGAATTTCATTTTACTCGAGATAGGCTTTCTACTTCAAATTTCCCTCCTATAGAAAATTATCCTAGTTTATTACAAAATATATTTAAATATTACAAAATGTATTGCAATAAATATTTATAGTTTCATTCAAAATTTTCTAATTCAATTTAATTTTTTATTTGATTTCATTTCAATTACAATTTTTGCACACTCAGTCAAATCTTCTTTGTACTAATATATGTTCTCCTGATAGTGACTAGACCATTTCATGTATGAAATCATACAACATCAATCCTTTATGATCCAATGACATTCCACCGGCTTGGAGATTCCGTTTATGAATTATTTATTATGTATTTTTCTTTACTGAAATACTAAATCCCATTTCAGTTTTACTAATACTGTTTTGACTTCGAACGTGATTTTGATCCTTTTCTATTTTAATTTTAGCAAAATGTAAAACACGGACACCGTAGCTCTCTGAGTTAATTAGCTTTCTTATCGAATATGAATCAAGATTGAATGTTGGAGTGACAAATTTATGCATGAATTAGCTGCATATTGAATATTAGATAAGTCAAAGCATTAAAGTTGTGGATGATATATGTTCATTGATTAACTTATATGTTTCTCACCCAATCGTGGTGATTGAAATTGGATTCAAAAGCTAACTCAAAGAACTACAAATTCCCTGTTTTAAGTTTTGCTATATTCAAATTCCAAAATAGTTAAAATCATCTTTAAAGTGAAAACGGTATTTTTTAAACTTAAACGATGCTTATCACATCCCCTTTCTTTACCTAGTTCTTTTCTTAGTAAATTAATTTGTGAATCAATATATATTTGAATTAATGTCAACATACGTCTATTATTAAGGTAGTCAATTTATGCATTTCGTCTGTCAATTTATCGATTTAGTCGAAAAATACTCAAACAACTGTGTGTGCGATGGTTTTGATTGCTGAGACTTGATGTAATATGTAATACTCTTGATCAATATATTGCTTATTGTTTAATTAGCGGACTCATCGAGTCAGAACCACAATAAATTAGTGTTTAGGTTGTGAGTGATTGTTTGCGTTTCTGTCACACACACATTTTTTATTTCATAACAATTCATTTGTCAATTCATAAATTTAGTCGAAAATACTCGAACAACGTGTTACGGAAAAATAATAAATTGAGAAATTATTTATTTCTTTACTGAGTACAATATTAATTAATTTAGTAATGATTGGGTAATGTAAATCGTACTCACGGAATATAATCCACCAAAAACCAACCAGACAGCATCAATGCAAAACTTACACGAAAACCAAAACCAAAACCTAATCTCACCCTTCTTTTTTTCTTTTTCTGTGTAGTTAGATACAAAAAACCGTGTCTCTATACATTTGGCTTCCATATCATCTAGGCAATTAATTCCATTTAATTTACCTCGTTTTATTACAACACTAATAGCATTATTCTTCAGACATTCATAAAACATTAAATTCATGTGCTGTTTTTCTGGATCAAATGTAGAGAAATCTTGTGGGTTCATCGCATCTTTTAGCCACGTGCATGGGCATGGTGTTAGTGTTACATTAATTAATTAATATTCCACTAATTTACTTTTATTTGTTTTAAGTTTGATGCTCTTTGTTTTGCGTGTTGTCTGAATTTAATTAGCACCAGTATTGGATGGTGCAGAATTTTTCCTGTGGGAGAAATTCCAAAAATTAATTATTAAAAATTGTTTAATTAATTTGACACAAATTAAACAGGGTGTCCTCTAGTTTTTGTATACCTCAAAATTATCGATATGTATTATTTAATTTAATGAATTTAACTTTACTTGATTACCCCTTTGTGCTTCCCTCAAGATTCTTCTAATGCTCACATTCTATTAAATTCTATTAAATTAAAAAAAAAGGACAATATGGGACAAAAAGTGAGTCAGCTTTTCTCCTCGTGCTTTTGGATTTCATAATAATTTATATTTTTTATTTTATTTTGATCTATATGATTATTAGTTGTAAGAAACAACAATGGGAATATAATTAGATTAAATTGTTGGTACTATTTGAAAAATAGAAATGCATGGACTAGTCTTTTTCAGCATGAACTAGATATGGTGTTTATTTTGAAAAATAGAGGATAAATATGTACTTTTTGTAGTGATACGTTGTTTTCCAATGTGTTTTATATTCGTTTAATAAATTCTCGTTGCCTAAATTCTCGTTTAATTTGTTATTATATTTCACAACGACGTATTTTGTTGTTGAAAGGATAAAATTTCGTTGCCAATACAATTCGCAACGAATTTTTTTTGTTGCCAAATCCTCGTTGCTGAAAGTTCATGGCAATGAAAATAAAAAAAAGTCGTTGCGCATACACTATTACAGCAACGAATCTATTTCGTCACCCAAATACATCGTTGCAAATACGTTTATAATCTAGAACGAATTTGTTTCGTTGCTAAATATAATTTGTTGCCAATACATTTATTATAGGCAACAAATTTATTTTGCCGCCAATGTATTTAGTATACGCAATGAATTTATTTCATTGCAAAAGCTATGTATGCACAACGAATTTATTTCGTTGAAAAGATATGTAAATAGAAAACAAAATGTAACCAATATGTGTGCCGACCCGACGCACATCCCCGACCCGACCCAAATCCCTGACACCCTGACATATTCAAAATCGGAACTGCTGGGTCGAAATCAGGGCTGGCCCAACGGCCACAATTGATAAATGTTAAATATATAGAGACATTACAGTAGAAGGATTTGAATCTTGGTTGATTTCAAGTTATAGACCTCTCCATCCGCTGGGGCATTAGTACATTTGTGTAAATATACCTCAAATAAATTTATAATAATTAAATAAACAAGGTAAAATGATTAAAATATTTATATAAATAAAATGTCAAATAAATTATATATAAATAAATAATATAGTGTCATAACGAAAACTATATTTATTTTATGTTAAAAAAAATAAAATTTACAATAAAACAAATAAGATTTTTCTTGTCATATTTTATCGTATATAATATGTATATATATATATAATTAATTTATTCTAATAGATTTGAGATTGATGAAATTCTAAAATTAATTAATAAATTCAATATTCTATTAAAATATTTATTTCGATTTAATAACATATAAAGTAAATTAAAATAAAGAAAAAGGAGTTGGTTTTTAAATTTGCAACAAATATATTTTGTTGCCAAATCTCTTGGAGAATTTACAACAAAAGATTTTGTCGTCTTTCATCACTTATTGGTGACAAAATAATTTTGTTGCCGTTGTAAATGTATTTACTACAATTTTATATCGTAGCAAAAAGAAATGCTCTTTTGCAACAAACAAAGTTGTTGTCTTTCATGAAATTCGTTGCAAAATATATATGATACTATTCACAACAATATATTTCGTTGCCTATGAGATTCAAACGCAACAAAAATATCTTGTTACAAAACGTTAATCCTTTACTATATTTCGTTGCTAAAATATAACTATTGGCAACGAAATTAATTTCGTCAATAAAAAAATCATTGCCTATTTTGCATTTTCTTGTAGCGTATATGATGCTGATGTAAGTTGATTGATTTTCACAATTTGATCAAAGGCAATTTTCTCTGATCGAGGAAGTGATTATAATACAATAATTTTTTTTAATAAGGAAAACTCAATTATCGTAATATAACAAACTACAACAAATTGGTTTCTTTTTTTTTTTTTTTTTATAAATTCCTCATGAGTATTCGAGCTTTGCCCGATAATCAAGTTATGAAGGTGAGCGACATTTGATCGTAAGAAGTAATTCGTGATTCTAATATATGGTAGCTCTCTCATGTGATGATGATAAATCCAATATAATATAATTTTGGCTTAATCAATTTCTCTCGACTTTGATACCCTATTGAATAACCGGATCGTCTAAAATACGGGAAATATGAATGTCCCGATCGAGTGGTCTATTAAAAGGTGGGGTATGGTTGGCATTTAGGAGACCCAAAGTTTTCGATCAATTTCATTTTTTTTTTTTACTTATTGTACTTAATTTATTTGTTTTGGTAAGAAATTTAAAAAAGTGCATCACATGTGGTGTGGAAGAAGGTCCATTTATATATAAATTGAAAGTATATAAAAGAGATAAAATATTAAATATGGACCCTAACACACAGAGAGAGAGAGAGAGAGAGAGAGAGAGAGAGAGAGATCTTCACATGATAGTGTTGGAAATGAAATGGTGTTGGGTCGCTTACATGACAGGGTTTCTTCGCTATTTCTGGTGGATATCAACAATTCCTACTGGATAAGCTTTTTTATTACATTTCATTTCGATATTTCTCTCTTCCTTTTTTTTTCCATCTCTCTCTCTCTCTCTCTCTCTCTCTCTCTCTCTCTCCACTGTGTGTGTTTTTGTGTGTGTGTGTGCATGTATGTGTGCATGAGTGTGCGAGTGACCCACAAACAAAAAGAACACACACACACACACACAAATATTTTTAAAGATTTATTTTCGATGAAATAAAACCTAGATGTAAAATGAAAGATATGTATATAAAAAATAAAGTTGGAAATCTAGAAACAGGGAGATATCATCATATCCTAATTCCTATCGGAAAAAGACCCTTAAAATTGTTTCTATTACATATGCATGCACAAATCTTAGGCTGCCTCACTCTTTTGAGGGCCCATCGATTGCGAAAACCTAACATGCATCTCTCTCTCTCTCCTTTTCTTTATTATTATTATTATTTTTTTTTAAATATTAATTATTTTACAACGAACCAACATGCAGCTCTATTTATTTAATTTGCCATAATTAGTCACTCTCGTTACTCCACGATATTTTTATTTTACATCAATTCTTGTCTCTATTGCCGTATATTTTAGACCTAGGATTATATAGACCATTATATTAAGACCTAAAATTAGGCTAAGAATCATGAATTCTAATACAAAAAACATAAATATTTTTTCTAGCTTCTACAATTATGGCTCCATACTTATCAAAAAAAAAAAAAATACAATTCTGGCTCCATGCATGCACCACATTAAATATATATGATAAAAGATGAACCGTCTTGCAACAATGTTCTAACGGTTGGAACAAGTGAGCCCGTATCAGTTGACGCAGGATCACTTTGCCAACAGTCGTTAGGTAGAACTTGTTACACATGCATGATCACTCTCTGTAGTATGATTTATTTACGTCTCTCGTATTTTAATCAAGAATGAGAATAATATTTTAATCCAAACCAGTCCACATCATTAATAATTCCAGTTTTGCTTTTCATTGTCTAAATTAACCACTTTTTAAGAGATAGTGTTGATAACTAATTTAAATTAGAAGTAATTTGGACATGTTACACCACAATCAACTACAAGTCTTGTTCTCATATATAATAAAAATCCAAATATGATAAAATATCAACTAAATTCCAAATGTGGTAAAATACAAGGATAATATAATCATAATTTTCAGCCATCAAACAATCTCATATTATAGTATCATTTATATTGTCGTTTTTTTTTTCAATTTAATTAATCAATAATATCAATATTCTCAAACAAGCTCTACAAGGAGGCAAAGCACTATATAAATATTTCATTTTTTCTAAAATAACCATTCACTTCAGAAAAAAAGTGTATCGATCTTGATGTAATTATTAATTCTCAATCATCAACTATTTAATTTTTTCAATGATGAATATTCAAAAATTAGAAAAGACGTTATTGGAGATATTAATATTACATGATATATTTTACTAACAGTTTAAACTGTTGGTTGAGATAGTCATTCAACATAGCTATCCAAGAATTAAATATAGGGTTATCAGTATGACCGATACCCAATAAAAAGGAGTTTTGCTATGAATCTTTTTGCTACGTTAGAAAATTGTTACGAAATGTATCTTTTACAATTGCAACAATCTGGGGGTCTTAGTAAATGCTAGAATTTGCTGTAGCGAAAAAGTATTTGATATGGCCGTTTACCGAAAAACTTTTGTCCCACCTGTATTCGGTACTCGGTACGAAGAAAATTCATCATATAAAGTTAATAAAAACAAAAAAAAAAAAAAATTATGGCACTGGAAAGTTACAAATTGAGTCTAGTACATACTTGTAGAATATATAGTTGTACTCAATTACATAAATATATAATTAATAATGGATGCGTATAAAAATGATTTGGGCATGATGATGTATAGATATAGCCCGTGAGTAAGCCAAACCAAAACTGCTTTCAGTCTTTACTCTTTGTTACATGACAAATTCCAACTCCCACTTCCTTACAAATTTATTCCCCTTTCCGCCGGCCACCACCGCTTCCCCACCGCCCCTCCTCCTCCTCCTCCTCCGATCCTATCCTCCTCTTCTGATATATATTCACTTAATCTCTTCTCTCTCTATATTTTTTTCTCAGCTAGCTCTGCTGAAAGAATATAATAAAGCTCTGCAAAATCAAGAAATCAAGAATCAAGATTTCCGACAGGTTCTTTTCACTGCATGGAGAAAAGAAGAATAATTCTACTTCCGTGAAGCTGAAAAAAGATGAACAGTCAATTTGTATTGCAGAATTAATTTTTTGTTCTTACAAACACAAAAAAATAATAATGGTTCGTTTCCCAATGGCCAGGTACCACTACTAGTCTTGTCCCTTTCTTTCCTTTCTGTCTCTCTACTCTCTCTTCTCAATTCACTTTCTCTCTCTTCAAATTCACTTTCTCTCTCTACAATACCTTTTTAATCTTGAAAAAAAAAAGACGCGTATACGGTATACCCCTTAATTATATTCCACATGATGCAATTCACGGAGACTTTTCCTCCTCCTCCGCCGCCGTTGCACCAGAGTAGTGTTATCAGTACTACTCCGCCTTCTTTTAACCCGATGAACAAGAACCAAGTTTTGCGGGTCGGGTCATGGCCCGGTTATTTTCCTACATCTAAGTCTCTGCAGGGGAGATTGGGCGACGCCAATTGCATGGAGCAGCTGCTGGTCCACTGCGCCACCGCCATCGAAACCAACGACGCCACCCTCGCCCAGCAGATCCTCTGGGTCCTCAACAACATCGCCCCTCCCGACGGCGACTCCAACCAGCGCCTCACCTGCGGCTTCCTCCGCGCTTTAATCTCACGCGCCGCCATGTCCGGCAACTGCAAGCTCCTCTCCGCCGTCGCCAACGTCCACGCCGCCTCCGACCCCACCACCACCTCCACCCACAGATTCTCCATCATCGAGCTCGCCAGCTTCGTCGACCTGACCCCCTGGCACCGGTTCGGCTTCACGGCGGCGAACGCCGCCGTCCTGGAAGCCGTCGAGGGCTACCCGGTGGTCCACATAGTCGATCTGAGCCTGACCCACTGCATGCAGATCCCAACCCTGATAGACGCCATCGCCGCCCGCCTCGACGGCCCGCCGCTGGTCAAACTCACCGTCGCCGGCGCCATGGAAGACTTCCCTCCGATGCTGGACCTCTCGTACGAGGAGCTGGGCACCAAACTGGTCAATTTTGCCAGATCAAGAAACGTCGCCATGGAATTCAGAGTCGTCCCTTCGACCTCATCAAACGGGTTCTCTTCTCTGATCGACCAGCTCCGAATGCAGCAGCTCCGCCGCGCAGAAAACGGCCGCGAAGCCCTAGTCATAAACTGCCATATGATGCTCCACTACATACCCGAAGAAGAAGAAGAACATCAAACCCTAACCTACGAAACCGCCGCCGCCGCCTCCCTCCGGACAATGTTCCTGAAGGCGGTACGAGGTCTGGACCCGACGGTGGTGGTGCTAGTCGACGAGGACGCCGACTTCACGTCGGGAAACCTGGCGAGCAGGCTCCGGTCGGCGTACAACTACCTATGGATACCGTACGACACGGTGGACACGTTCCTGCCACGTGGAAGCAAGCAGAGGCAGTGGTACGAGGCGGACATCTGCTGGAAGATCGAGAACGTGGTCTCGCACGAAGGGAACCGCCGGGTCGAACGGCTCGAGCCGAAGAGCAAGTGGGTCCGGAGAATGAGGAGCGCCGGATTCGGCGGGGTTGCATACAGCGAAGAAGCCATTGCAGAAGTGAAGAACATGCTTGATGAACACGCAGCTGGGTGGGGGCTCAAGAGGGAAGAAGAAGATCATCTCGGCTACGG